CCAAGATTTGCCTCAAGACGAAAATCTGATCCATTATGGACTTCTGTCTGCGAAAACCACATTGATATCCCCCAACTATTTGTACCGCATATGCTCTCAATCGGTCATACACAATATTTGACAGTATTTTATATGCCAGTCAGTAGCGTTACTGCCCGGTAGTTTTTGCATTGAAGCTGATCTCTCTTTTTATGTAGTGGGATAATTATTATTATTAACACTATTAGTTCGCCTTCCGGCTCGAGGAGATAAGAATACGGCCGGGGCCCGAAGACCCTGTCTGTCGTAAGAGGCGACTAATGGGCGGATATGAGAGGTGGAGGGCCGTCGTTTGAGGTGTCGGGTTGGTAGAAACGCACAGAGATGCTTAGTCATCTCAGTCACCGGTCTACATTCCTAGTATCCGAGACGAGCACCTCGTGGGACCACTCTACTCTCATTTTCCACAAGAGCCGGGTGTGGTTGAACGAGCCAGGTACGGAGGCTTCCCGGAAGCTGACACCGCGGAAGGGGAGCGGGTGACCCGGCACATACCACACCTCGGAATGATTTAACGAGTGGTAGAGGAGTGATTCCTCGGCGGCGACCTGTCTACGTGCGAGGTGGTATTCCACCACCTGCGTGCCTTTCCGCCTCCGGGGGGAGGATTCACGGAAGGGTGGCGTGACCCGCAACACAGGTACTACGGGGGAGGTGGAGCCCCACGATGTTTCGGCATCGTGCCACCTCCAATTGGTGTCGGACTCGTAGGGGCAGTGGGAGCGCTAACGGTCGTATGCCGAAAGGACAGGTAGACCAGGGTCCTACCAACTCATTTTGGAGGGCACAAAGCTATGCAATGTATCGCGTTTAATAGGGAGTCTTTACCTTCCTTTTTTAATTCTGCGCTAATGTTGTCTAATCCAGGTGACTTGTTGTTTTTCAGTCTGGTAACTGCTTCTTGCATTTCAACTGCTTAAGGGGGAGTTGTTTCTCTGATATCTGTTTGATCCAGTATCACTTCAATCATATAGTGGATCTTCGTTTATTTTTTTTAGAAACCACTTACAATGATCTCGTAAAATTCTTAGAAAACTTGGTATTGTAACTTGACCCCAATCAGGACCAGTAATTTTAACAAGAATGTGATATGGGAAAGTAAAAAGCTGAGGAAAAGTTATAAAATATGGATTAAGAAAACTACAAAAAATATAAAAGCTAACGAAGTAAATAAATAAAATGTGGAAATTTTGTTAAATCGAGTTCCTCTAATCTAGCAAAAGTGAGTTATAATGTTTTTCATATCAAGTATCGATATAAGGATTCGTATAATGATTTTGTTTTAAATACGTAACTCTGTTATATTATCTTAGTTATATATAAAGTATACCTATGGAACCGGCAAGTAATACGTACGAATGCAACACATTTACTTAATATCATAGATACCTACACGTATTTTAATGAGTTAAAACGAAAAATTTAAACTTTTATCCAAGATAAAATTAGAAGATCTGTAAAAGTGGAATGTTTGTCGTTTGCCAATTATGTGGGTTATATTGTCAAGCTTAATTAACTGCAGCTGTATTTAAAACTAAACAAATGAATATATTTTTATTTATCTTTTCGCGCATTACAATGAATGCACTTAAATTAAAACTAACTGCGAGCAATAAATACATAGTAATTTTTTAGATATATTTCTTAAACTCGAATTAATTTCTGGAAATGTGTCGCTAGTGTGTAAAAGGGACTTGTTTGGTTTTTAACAATACCCAACAGTAGATGTATTATAACATCGGAAAAAAGTTGTGGCCAAAGGAGAGAGAATAATTAGAACAAAAATAGTAAGCAATCACCAAGGAAGAAGGAAATGAATAATTTGGTTAATTGAATTTATAAGTTCGAGCAGGATAATTTTGTTTTGTGTGTAGGAAGATCCTAGCAAGTTATGTATAATCGTAAACGATAAGTGTTCACCAATAAAGGGTGGAATAAACATTGTTAATTGATTTTGAGAAAGTTTTATTACCATCGGTTGGCGCTACAGTCATTCGTTAACTTTGTTAACTCCGCCATATATGGTGCTCAATACTTTTCTTTCAAAGATTCGTAGTAACTCTTCATCTCAAGTCACCATTGTTTATGTTTTCGATACGTAAGAGAGCACTGTGTATATTATTGATCTTGACATATTTCTCGCTCTTAGTTGAGGGTTAAGGCAAAAATAATTTTTATTATTTCTTTGGATGTGTTGCTGTTCCAGTTTATCAGTGACCCTAAGTAGCAGGATTCTTCTATCCGCTAGGTTGAACATGGCGCTTAACCCTGGCGGAATTCTGTGTTAGTTGTAAATGGTTCTGACAGATCCCCTTGTACCCTCACTTTACATTCAACTTTTCTCATTGCAATTTTAGTAAATGCTACTAATCCTTTTGGTAGTCCAAACTTGATCATAGCCGAATAAACTTTGTCAGTCAACAGAATCGTACGCTCCCTTAAAATCTACGAAAATGTAATGGCAGTCCATGTCGTACTCAGACGTTTCTTTTAATATTTGTCTGATGTATGATATGCGATCAATCGTAAATCTGTTTTTGAAAAAACCAACACTTTCGTTAAGTGTCAGGAACAAAATTTTGTATGCCGCACTAATAAAGGAAATCCCTCTAAAGTTTGGTTTGGTTCTTACCATACCTGTATTTATAGTTTGTGAAAGAGGATTTCAAATATTTGACCGCCACATTTAAATATTTCTAGGTAGATTGTCTGCTCCGGGTGACTTGTTTTTGGCTAGAGACTGAATTTATCTAGTTCTTCATTAGAAGAGATTTCTTCATTTTAGAAAAGCAGCTCTTTGATTTTTCTCTTTATCATGTCTGTATCTAATGAAGAATAAATCTATGTAGCATATTCATTAGCAGAATGTGTATAAACTATAACAACTTCCCGTGCTCAAATCGGTATCAATAAAGTGTTATGATCATTTCGGGCTATCCCAGCCTCATCAGACACTTGGGCTGATACAAATTCAAACTCGGAAAGTCCAACGAATGTCACCCAAAACTTCACTACAGATAGTAGTGTGTCAGCCCAAGTGTCTGATGAGGCTGGGATAGGCCGAAATTATCAGAACACTTTATTGATACCGATTCAAGCACGGGAAGTTTAGCGAATTTGTCCTCCTATGCCATATATTTGGCTATTAATTATAATAAAGCGATAGCGGCTTTCGCTAAAAGATTTAATCTTTTACACATTTCGCATAGCACAAAGGATACAGAAAACGATATTATCATATAGTTTCGTTCACGGCCGCCAAAGCAGGGCTTTGTAGTGAAGTTTTGGGAGACATTCGTTGGACTTTCCGAGTTTGAATTTGTATCAGCCCAAGTGTCTGATGAGGCTGGGATAGGCCGAAATGATCATAACACTTTATTGATACCGATTCGAGTACAGGAAATTTAGTGTGATTAATTGAAATTTAGTAATTTAAAAGTATAATGAAGTTACCACTATGAGCTTCTAGTCTTCTGCCGGTAAAATGAAGGCAACTTGGACTGTTGGAAGTTTAATCAATCTCCACCTGTGGCTGGCTAACCAGCCACAACGTAGACTATTAATATATAAATTTTTGGATTGACCTCGCTTGTTTGTTCTTTGTTTCTCTCAACCGATCACTGGGGGGAATAATGGTGTTCTCAACCACCTTTTCCTTTCATTTTTTGGTTTATACAGACAGGTTGTCAACCAAATTTGTCATATTTTTTAAATAAACCGTTCTATTGTATTGGAGTTGGTATTTCGCCTTGTTGTTCTGTCACGCGTTGACCTCAAGGTAACTGTCTTTACACGTTGTTGGCGTTATTAATACTTGTTGCCTTCATTTCACCGGCAGCAGACTTCAAGAAAGCATTACTTTTCTATTAACCCATTTTTACCAAAAAATATTCCCCATTTTAATTTTAACTATAATAAAGTACATTCCTCGTTGATAACCCGGCTAAAACTTAAACATGGCCTCTTTCCAGAGCATCTACAAAGGATTAGAATCTATGAAATTCCCTTCTGTCCGTGTAATAATAAATATTTTGGATACGAACCACTTGTATTTCGATTATCTTAATCATAGGGAATAGACTCGGAGACTATATTTAGGTTCAATCGATCATCATTGCCCCGAGCTTTCGACATCCTCTTTGATGTTTTCTACAGAGCTTTGGAGGTCTCAGTCCCCCGAACCTCCAGACACTACTACGGTGATTACTACCAGTGCAATGTCTATTTAACCACACTCTTCAGTTTATACACGACACAGATTTATAAAAAAGTGATGGTTTGTGTACTTACTTAAAAGACAATCATATGTCAAATCAAAATCAAATGTCAAACGTTGAGAACGTTTCAAACAACAAGAAAAAAGATAATACGATTTAATAGTAAAGTAAATGTAGAAGGTATCGCCATAGCTCCTATGGTAATCCTTTCTCAAGCTAACACGCTCCTTTTCTAGCTTGGCTGCACCGCATTGGTAACAATAGTCAGAAATACGTATATAATTATGGTTGCCGTCTATCCTATACACATATTTTATTATTTTTATTTTTTGCGAGCTATGCTAATACATTCTACCTTTATTGTACCATTAACTCGCAATAACCTTTTTATTATTTTTTATTATTGTTTGAAATGTTCTAAACGTTTGGCATTCCTTTCCTCAGGTAACTTAGCTTCCTCCGTGGATGTGTTAGTTGTTGCTTTCATTGTCACAACATCATTGCCACAAATTGGCCGCATTGCTCCTGAAGTGATCCTTTCTCAAGTTAACATGCTCCTTTTCTAACTTGGCAGAAATACGTATATACAGTTGCCTTCCATCTTATATACATACATACACACACACACATACACATATATAATATATATATATATATATATATATATATATATATATATATATATATATGTATTTATTTATTTATTCTAAACATATGTATTTAACTTTATAATTTATGTTTCAGACTAGTATTTACTTAGCAATCACTCCCGTAATTGGACAAATGGTGTTGACAAAAATAAGGATTGTGATCTCAGCTTTATCAGTTATAACGTTTATAATATTTTTTGTTTGTGCGATGATTTCCTACACTAAGTTCAAAGGTAACGTATATGGATATAAATTCAATTATATCAATTAGCTTTATTTTTTGACTAATGTCTCAGACGGAGAAAAAGTTATAAAATAGCAATTAACGCAAATGGAATGTTGTTGTTTTCAATTAAAAGTAATGATTTATACCCGTAGTTTGAAAACAATCTATTGTTAGATTTAGATAATGAATAGTCTAGGTAGTTAAATTTGGTAATACATACATAACTACATAATATACTGACCTTTATAAAAGGTATTAACCAAATTTTCTTTTTCTCATTGCGGGTCAATATTTAATGGGGTCCCTAGGTAGTAAGATACATAATGCAGTCTTTTCTGTTATCTAAATTAGATAACGGCATTTAGCAAGAGTGCGAATATTACTTTTATACCAGCGTTTGTCTTTTTCAGAAAAGACAAAATACGTCATGTCCTAAAGTAAACAGAGACAAAACTAGAGAGAAATACAGGCATTGACGTAAGCGCATATTTTGACGGCTTATATAAAATAAATTGCAAATGTATATATATATATATATATATATATATATATATATATATATATATATATATATAATAGAACATAGCGATAGCAGCTTTTTCTAAAAGATTTAATCTTTTACACATTTCGTATATCCCAGAGGACAGAAAATGATATTTATAAATAATTTTTATTCATGGCCGCCAAAGCAGGTGGCACCTCTGTACGCCAACCACTGCAGTAGTCAAGCTTTGGCATTCGTTGGACTTTCCGAGTTTGAATTTGTATCAGCCTGAGTGTCTGATTAGGCTGCGATATTCTAAAATGAGTCATAACACTCTACTGATACTGATGTGGATACGAACAGTTTAACGAATTTGTTCTCCTAGGCCTTATATTTGGCCATTTAATTTAACAGAGCGATAGCAGCTTTTGCTAAAAGATTTATTCTTTTACACACACACCCACACACACACACACACACACACACATATATATATATATATATATATATATATATATATATATGTATATATATATGTATATATATATATACATATATATATATATATATATATATATATATATATATATATATATATATATATATATATATATATATATATATATAAAACCTAGAGATAAGATTAATATTATTACTAAAATTAATATCAAACTCACCAGTCTTCCGGGTTGAACCGCGTCGATATCCATTTTGCCGAGCTTTCGGCATCTTCTCTGATACTCTATCACTACTGAGCAGTGATAGCGTAGTGATCAGTGAACAGTGTAGTAGTGTCTGGGGGCTCGGGAGACTGAGACCTCGGAAGCCCTGAGGAAGGCATCAGAGAGGATGCCGAAAGCTCGGCAAAATGGATATCGACGCGGTTCAACCCGGAAGACTGCTGAGTTTGATATTAATTTTAGTAATAATATTAATCTTAGCTCTAGGTTTTATTGTACTAACCGTGGAAATCTTTCCGAACATATATATATATATATATATATATATATATATATATATATATATATATATATATATATATATATATATATATAAGAAATACTGGATATTATTGACTGGATTGTTTCCAAATCCATAACAACAGAAGTTGCAAAATCCTTAAAAATTTACAATGCAGTTGCACCTAGGTTTTATACACTACCTAAAGTTCATAAACCCACTATTTCAATGAGGCCTATTGTATCTTCCATTGATGCTCCTAATAGTAAACTTGCTAAACACCTTACAGATATTCTCACAATTTCCTACAATGAATCCAATGAATTCTATATTAGAGATTCTTTTTCATTTAGTAACTTCATTAACAATGTTAAAGTTCCAAATAATTATATATTGATTAGTTTAGATGTTGTGTCATTGTTTACAAACTTACCACTAGATGCTATTCTTAACAGCATTAAAAATAACTGGAACAACATCTCTCCACATACGAAGATCAGTTTAGATGATTTCATAAGAATTTTAACATTTATATTTGATTCTAACATCTTTGTATTCAATGGTAATTTTTTCAAACAAATTTTTGGCACTCCAATGGGCAGTAAAATATCCCCCATACTATGTAATTTTGTTTTGGATGAACTTATAACAACATGTAAAGAAAACATACCTTTTCACATACCATTTATTAAACGTTATGTAGATGATTTGATTCTATCGGTCCCTGAAAACAAGGTAACTGATGTTTTAAACACTTTTAATGCCCAATGTGAACACCTACAGTTTACGGTTGAGAGAGAGGCTGATAATATGATTCCTTTTTTAGACATGCTAATCCATCGTGGCAATGATGGCATGCTAAAGACGGAGTGGTATCGTAAACCTTGTTTCAGTAACCGTTTCATAAACTTTTATTCTCAACATCCATCTAAGATGAAAACAAATTTGGTTTTGGCTTTAAAAACTAGGGTTATCAATTTGTCACATACAGAATTCAGAGACAAGGGACTAAAAAAGTTGAGATCCATACTACAAGAGAATTCTTATCCCATAGGGCTGTTAAACAAACTCATTTTCGGTTCTCCTTTTCCTTCACAAGTTTCTGTCAACCAAAATTTTCATAACAATGAGATCCGACAATTGACATTGACACATAACGCAGCAATATTACCATCTAAAATAACTTATGGTTGCCTACCCTATATTCCATTTTTGACACCTAAGCTAATGAACATCTTTAAAAATGTTAGTGGCTTAAAAATTACAACCAAAAATGTGAAAACAGTATCGAAGCTTTACACAAAGACAAAAGATCCTTTCACAATACAGGAGTCATCGAATGTTGTTTATTCTATACCGTGTAGTAACTGCAATAAAATTTACATAGGAGAATCATCTCGTAATTTTCACAGCAGGGTGATATCACATCGCAGTGACATAAAAACCAAAAAAATCAATGCATGTGCATTGACAGAACATGCACTAACTCTAAAACATGAGTTCAAGTTCGATGATTCCTGTATTTTGGCAAAAGAAAAGAACCATTTAAAACGTGTTTTTTTGGAAATGTGTTTCATAAAATCTAGCACATCTTGTATCAATAAAAAGTCCGATATAGACAAATTAAGTAACATTTATTGTTATTTACTAGAAAAACACCAAAAATAAAAATAAAATAAATATTTACCTGTACGAAAAATTACACCTCTGTATAATATGTTGCATACCATTAAGACAGGTTAAAAATTATAGACACCTAAGAAAGGCCTCTAGTAATGCTTGTAAAGAAAGATAACATCAATTTACACCTAATTACATATTAATTACACTGTTTTTTCTTTCCATTCTCTGTATGAGTTAATATACACCAGTAAAACATGCCATCAATCAAGTTTTACTATTTTTAACAACAAATTTTTAAAAATTTTATGATGTATTGTCCATAATTGTATATTTTAATGTGTGGTATTAATGTTGAGTGTTCAATGCTTACAAAAATAATCTCAACGACTAGTAAGTTACACTGAAGAATGGTGATATTATTTTTAAATACTTACATAATTGTCTTTTACAGTGTCTTGAAAAAGGAATAAAAATATTCCGAAAGCTCGACAAAAAGTCAAAAGAGTGTTTTTTTAACATCCCGGCCAATAATTCTGACTGCAACCCTAATAAACTGTGTTGTTTGGTTATATATATATATATATATATATATATATATATATATATATATATATATATATATATATATATATATATATATATATACTGTTTTACTGTATTAACTTTTTGTTTGTTAGCTAAGGTGAAGTTTGATTTAAAAGTGTTTAAAATTGAATTCCTCCCAGGAAAAGAGGGGTTTAGTGGTCAACTGAGGTCAATGAAATTTTAGTTTGGGGATTAAGAGGGATTCGTGGTCGATTGAGGTCCATGCGATTTTATGAGTGACGTTAACAGCGTCATATTTTGTACATCACGACCCCATTTGGACCCCCCATTCTTTATATATGGTCGGTATATATTGAGTTGATTTTATCCTGTATTTCGTTATTCATCTTTTAAAACTTCTTCCTTTCCAACCTACGTATACTTTTGGGTAATAACACAACCTTAAATAAACAACTAAATAGAGATCTAGTCTTGTCAACGGTAAAACCAATTCAATGATTTCTCTGGACACTGTCAAACTACTTTGCCAAAGCTATGACTGGTTTTAACAATTTTTATACGATATATGATTTAAGGTTTAATGTTATAGAATTTATTATTAGTTGAGATGGATATATTCTTGCCATCTGTCATGCTTAATGATAATATTGGTTCTGAAACTATTTTCTTTCGATATTTTTATAACCAGTATATTTTTTTTATTATAGTGACTATAAATATGTTGAGAATGTTGCGGCGGGGAGCAGCTGAGTTTTAGTCATGTTATATAATTTCTTCCGGGTCTCTTTTTGCCATGTACCATAAATTGGAGAATTTATTGAACAAAGCCATATCGTTTTTCATTGCCTACTATCTGTCCCAGATATACTAATTTTCGAGATTTAATTGTCATCATATTTTCGTACCTTTTTCCCATTCTACGTAGGAGTTTCACACTGAGATCTGGATAAACACATTCCATACGTACGATATGCCTCTAAAATCATATCTCGAAACCATCGAGCAAATTCGTAGTTGACATAGGTAAACTTTATGTAAATAGTTCAGATTATCTGCAAAAACTATGTTGCTATTCTTTATCGCATCCTTCTAGAGCTTTCTTAAACAATCAGAATAAATGTTGAGTAGGAGGGGGAATAAAATATAATCCATGTCGTACTCCAAATTAAACAATTAATTTTTTCATTAATTGGAAATGGAAAAGATTCTTCGAATAGGTTAATTTTATGCGCTCCACTCATAAAGCCTATTTAGACATATATTTAACATTTAAAAATAGTGAACTTTAAGATGCTCTCCTCGGACAATATTTATGGTTCATTCGATTACAAGAAATTCACTTTAACTTAAAAAACCGATTTCAGAAGCTTCAATTTCTTGTCCACCTTTATTGCGTCTATATTTTATTGATTATAAAACTGGTTTAATATTTTATTAATGTTTTAGGCACTAGTTATCTACACTGGAAATACGAAGATGGTGGTTATGAATTACATTTAATCAGCAGCGTTACAGAATGGTTATGTGCTGCATCCATAATGACATATGTAATGTTATTTAAGAAAGAATTTGAAAATACTGTAGTTCATGAACCACTAATCGATACCGGCTTAATAAAACCAAATAACCAGTTGAAACGAACTTCCAGTAATACAACAACTGAGGAGTTGAGTAAATGAGTAATAAACTGCTTTTAAATATTAGACTTACTTTATTTTATTAACGCTTAAGCTTTTGTGTTGTGAATAGTTAGTAAAAATATTTTTGTACAATTGTATATATGACACCCTGAGTATTTTTATTTGTATATTTAGTAGATTTTTGTTTATTTATTATACGTTTAGTACAAATCTGTTTATCAGGCATTGGTAGTTACAGTAACAAAGAAACCACTAAACATTTATTAAAACATATTAAGTTTGATTACTTCTTACTAAAACCCCCAAAAAACCTATAAAATGGATTGTCAGATATTTAATTACTATTTAATTTTTAGTACAGTTTATTCTTCATACCTAAGTGTTTATTTTCATAACATTTTTCTTTTATTCTTTCTGTGAAGTTTCATAAACGTTTACTCATTCATAAATCGTCGTCAATTCTTTGCAGTTTTAATATTAATATTTTTCGTTTGATGCAGAAGTTTTTAGTGTGTCATGTCATTGCTAATTACCGGTTCTTAGAGCAGTATGGTCCAACCTTCTAGACGTTGCGGGCCGTACTAAATTTGAAATTATTATGAAGGGCCAGGGAACTCGACTCGTTCAAAAAAAGTTTATTTTAAAAAATTATATCTTCGATTTATAATGCCTATCCATTACGGATGTTGGACACTAACATGGCTATTCTGACTTTGTTGACTGCTGCCCTGAAAAGTCCGGTAGTGGTTAAGTTAAACTATTCTCGAAGGTTATGCAGCCAAGATATTCTTCTTCGTCCTGGACCTCTTTTCCCATGCACTTTACCTTGAAGTATGGTCCGAAGTGGGTCATATCGTTGTTCATTACGCATTATATGGCCCAGGTATTCCAATTTGCGATGTTTTATGGTTACTAGCTCTCGCTCTTTACCCATTCTATGTAGTACTTCTTCGTTGGTAATTCTGTCTATCCAGGAAATCCTTAACATGCGTCTATAGCACCACATCTCAAATGCTTCGAGTCTATTCAGTAATGCTTCAGTTAAGGTCCATGACTCCACGCCATATAAAAGAAAGGAGAATACGTAGTATTTCAGTAAACGAACTTTTCTTTCCAATTTTATATCGTGGCTGTTAAAGATTTTTTTCATTTTGACGAAAGCTGATCTTGCCTTCTCGATCCTTATCTTAATGTCCGTCGATTGGTCCCACTGTTTATTTAAATTTGCATCCAGATAACAACAGTTGGTGATTTGTGTTATATGTTGTTGGTCAACTACTAATTGACCAGGTGGTATTTTTGCTATAACCATGTATTTGGTTTTTTTGAAGTCAAGCCCAATCCTGCTACTTACTTCTGCCACCCTTGAGACAAGTGTCTGCAGACCTTCAAGACTGTCTGCAAAAATGACAGTATCATCAGCGTATCTCATGTTGTTCAATCGTTCTCCGTTTATAAATATTCCCCCGCCTATGTCCGTTAGCGCTAGGTTCATAATGTGCTCTGATAATGTATTGAACAATAATGGGGACAATATACATCCCTGTCGCACACCTCTTTTTATTTTTATGTCGTCTGTTAACTGATCCCCTACTCTATCAACTGAAGTTTGTTCGTAATATATTGTTTATTATACGGCGATCTCTGCTGTCTAGACCAATTGAATGAAAAAATAATATACAAACGAAATATTATTATGGTTTACAATTTATATGTTATGTTTAAAATTTAACATAATATAAAAAATCAATGGAATATTTGAGGCAAGTGTTTAACCTCTACTAACTTTTGCACATCTATATCTATACTAGTCGTAGTGAGTCTAATAGACCCTTCCAGAGAATCATATTCCATGAGATTACGTGTTTTAGATTTAATATGCTTCAAAACAGAAAATGTACTTTCACATACATATATACGTGTTACCAAACAATAAATATAGTTACAACGCAAAGTTACGAAGTTTAGGAAAACGATCCTTGGAAACTAATTTTCACTAACGTCTTCATTTTTCTTTGCTTGAAAAACTGAATCGGACTGTAGTTCGCACAGCTCGACGAATCGGACTGTAGTACGTGGTATTTTGTTGATTGGTTCTCGATGTTGACTCACATTTTATTGTTAAAAAGCTCAAGATCGGGTTTTAGTGCATCAAATTCCGAAAACCTTTTATCGAATTCTCTTTTTATTTCTGTAAGAACTTTTGCAAACCTCGAGAAATCGACCATGGTTTCTTCTTATTTATTTTAAAACACGCAGGAAAATGTGTGAAGTCGTTTATTTTCATGTAGTTCTCGAAAAGATCATGTTTTTTGCGAAATTTCTCAATTTGACCAACCAACTGTGGTACTGTCTTATTTTTCCCCTGGAGTTGTAAATTTAATATGTTCATGTGAGCGGTAGTGTCTGTTAAAAATGCTAGTTCATGAAGAAATGTTTTGTTCTTTAGCTTTGTTACAGTAAGATCTCTTTTCTTAAAGAAAAAAAAAATGCCTAAAGCATTTACCTGCACTTAACCAGCATATCTTTTATTGTACGGGGATGTCCTTATATTCAGTATTTAATTCCTCCAAGAAAGAGATGAATTTTCGGTGATGTTGAGCCATGTTTCCTCCTCTTAAGCTGTTTACTATCTGCACTACAATTTTCATAGTATCGTTGATTTTAATTATCTTTCCGCAGAGAGCCTCTTGATGGATAATACAATGAAATTTAACACAGTTAATATTATTTTTCTGCAAAAGTCCAGCCAATCGCGTTATGCGTCCCGTCATTGCTTTTGCTTCATCGGTGCAAACGCAAGAGCACTTTTGAAAACCGCCTATATTTTTCACAGCGTCAGTAACTGCTTCTAATATATTTATACTTTTGGTCCCGTCTTCCACGTGGTGTAGTTTTAGCAGTTCCTCAGTTACACAAAAATCTTTACTGATGCATCTAACAAAAATTAATAGCTGATTTTTGTCAGTAATATCAACAGATTCGTCCAGGGCTAAGAAGTAGTACCGTTCGCGTAATAAAAAACTGGTACATTTCTTATAACCGAAAATCGTGTTTTTCAAGCTGTGTAAGTTGCTCTTATTATTTATTATAATTTATGAAAATATTTAATTCAAAAATAATGTTAGATAATAAAAAATCTTGACTTGACTTTAAATTAGTATGTTTAATTTCAAATCGAGAGGTGTCATTCGTTTCTCGTAAAGTGTAGCACAAAACTTGTGGCATACTAGAATAAATAGAACACACTAGAAAAATTAAAAATTTAGTTTAAAATTAATACAAAATAAATAACTTTTACAGTGAACAAGTGTGGAATTTAAATATATGTATTACAATTCGAAACTGCTGAAATATTAATATTTTGATATATCTCTATTACTAAAAAAACATTTTGGACATTAACTCAACCGTCTCTCTGGTTATTAAATTTATTAAATACCGTTTTTTGTTGTTAATGATAAAAATAATATCGATCTAAACACTTTATATATTTTTGAACGTTATTTTTTTTTATTTAGATGCAATTTCGTTATCTGTGATGGCAACAACGAATTGGTTCAGAACCATTGTGTCCAGTTTAAACACTGGTTTACATTGGAAAAAAAAGTGTACCAATTTTATATGACGGGAAGTGTACAAACAATCACGAACTATGTCGACCATTTTTTTAAATACATGATTATTTAGCTTATCAACTCTTCTAGATACAGTTTGATGGGAAACTGAAACACGTTCAAAATGTTTGGCCATATTTTCGTCTCCAAAGGATCGCGCCATTTTAACGGCACATCGCTGCTATGATGCTGCTAAGCTTGATGATTGAGCGCCTGTCGGTTTTGTAGATAGAGATTTTTGTTTATTCAATTTAGCTTTAATTTCTTTTACAAGAGTCTTGCGAGCTTCACCTTGATATTTGTCGTATTTTGTTTTGTGCTAGGTTTCATAATGCCTTATAATATTGTATTCTTTTGATACCGCGAGTACTTGACAACAAATAATGCGCTGAGGTTTGTATTTTAATTCGATAAAGAAATATTGATTTTTCCATTTTCATTGGAACGTACCTACAATCTTCTTTAAAAATTTTGCGTTTTTTGGCACTACTCATTCTAAATTTAATATTCAATTTATTCGCCACTGTTAATTAAAACACGACACGTGCATCTGACTGAAGCTCACTGCCCGCTCATCGGTAGTGGGTGTTGAAGGTTAACTACTTTCTTAAGATTATGAAAAGTTAGACAGGTTTGGAACAGGTAAATGTTATCAATGGTAATATTTTAGAAATATATTTACAGGGTCCGCAATTTAACACAGTTTAACTGAGATTGTACCACACTGTCTTAGAGCAATAATTTTTTTTATAGCAGAGAATTAGCCTTACAACTCTCCGCATTTATCGTAGCCTAAGACAGGCCATTACGTCGGAAATGACTCCTAACCTATTCAATCAAGGAAATCGTCGCACCTTTTACCATTGGCGGAGGTACTGGAATACCAGAAAATAAAGAGGGAAAATAAAGATGAACAGCAGATATTGTAGATATGCATTCTTCCATCCTTCCCTGTCGAGTGTCTGTCTTCTCACTCTCATTATTTCAATCTTCCTTAAATCGTCCTAAGCAGAGATCTAGATTAGATTAGATTAAGAGAGGTGGCCTTTCGGCCTATTTCACTGCGACCTTTTCAGATCTATTGAGGTCCTCTATTCCTAGACAACATTCTCTAGCCTGACCCTCTTTATAAAGTCTAGTAGCTTCGAGACTGTACCTTCCATGTAGCTGTTTGCCGGTGGATTTTCTTCTCCTAATGCAAAAAACCGCACATTTGCCAGACTGTCACACTGACATAAAATGGGCTCTGCCGTTTCTTCTTCGAGGTGACAGAATCTGCACAGGTCATCATCTGATAATCCCATTAGCTTCAAGTGCCTATTCAGCTTACAGTGCCCTGTTAGAAGACCTACTATGGCTTTGACTGTTTTCCTATTTTTGCTAATTAGGTCTGCCGTAATTTTGGCGAATGTTCTCTAATGAACTGTTTCG